TCATAGCCCACAGCAACCTCAAACTCTTGGGCTTAAGTGATTCTCTTTCCTCAGCCTCCCAAGTAGCTGGGACTATAGGCGCCTGCCACAACGTCTGACTATTTCTAGAGACGAGGTCTCACTCTGGCTCAGGCTGGTCTTGAACCTGTGAGCTCAGGCAATCCACTTGCCTCGGCCTCCCAGAGTGCTAGGATTACAGGTGTGAGCCACCACGTCTGGCCTATAAAATACTACTTTTAAAAAATGAATGTAAAAACATAAATCCACAGCTCAGTACCTGTAGCTCAGCAGCCAGAGTGCCAGCCACATACACTGGAGGTGAGGGGTTCGAACCTGACCCAGGCCTGCCAAACAACAATGGCAACTACAACCAAAAAAATAGCCAGACGTTGTGGTTGTGGTGGGCACCTGTAGTCCCAGCTACTTGGGAGGCTGAGGCAAGAGAATTGCTTAAGCTCAAGAGTTGAAAGTTGCTATGAGCTGTGACGCCACAGCACTCTACCCAGGGTAACATACTGAGACTCCGTCTCCAAAAAAAAAATCATAAATCCTATTTACTCTTAAAAAAAGCAAAAAAAAGGAGCTGAAAATTATCATAGGAAATGAGAATTCTAAAATGAAGGAAACTAAAATATCTCACCCCAAAATATAGTTCTCTGACATATTTTGAAAAGACTATCTAGGGCGGCACCTGTGGCTCAAAGGAGCAGGGCACCAGCCCCATATGCCAGAGGTGGCAGGTTCAAACCCAGCCGCAGCCAAAAACTGCAAAAAAAAAAAAAAAAAAAAAGTCTATCTAGAGAACCTGCAGAAAGACGTAGCCGAGGAGGTTATTAGAGGGAGAGAAGCAGAGGCTTTGTCCAGCAAAGGTGGTCTTACTATAGAGATGAAACCTCACAAGTGGCAGCCCTAAAAGAGAATAGATGGTAAATGTTTCTTTATACCTTTAAAGGTATCAGATTATCAGTTAATCTTTCCTAAATCCGAATGAGTGAAGCCTTCAGAGAAACTCTGAAGCATCGATACAGATTTTCTCCACAGGGTCAAACCTCCCCAACAAAAGTCAGCTTTGCAGGGCTGCTGTCATTTGCTGGCTCTCTGAACAGCCATCTTAATATATGTCAAAGTAGATTTGGGGGTGAAATAATTTGGTTTCCTTCATATGCATCTGAATCTTCTCCTAAAAGAAAAGCAAAACACTTCTTCTATGGATACCACTAACATTTGGCAAACCTTTTACTTTTTTTTTTTTTGAAATTGCTTTCTAAGCCAGTTTATGAGTCACCAAAAAAATTAAAAAGAAAATTTACAGTCATATCTCATATACAACTGATGGGAAAATTGTCATCAGCATGCAGCTAGTACTTATGGCTGTAAAAGCTATAGACACGGGAACTGATTCAAAGATAATGATTGAAGTGCACAATTAATTCTCAGTGAATTAGCAAACACCTAGACTGGGTCAATGTTAAATTGTGGTACAAGAAGTTGGCATACAATCGAGCTGCAAAATGTGCTCAAGTAAAACTTTATGATTTGATAGTGAGTAGAAAGGGCAACCAAGCTATAAAAATCCTTCACGCTGACCTTACATCAGATGAAAAATCCTGTAAGTAACCTGCAAAAAAAGAGTAGTTTAGGAATCATACCCCTATTTTTCTGACCCTTCCCAGGTAGCATCTCACCAGAAATCAGAAAACAATAAACACAAGGCCAAGCCTGGTGGCTCATGCCTGTAATCCTAGTACTCTGGGAACCCAAGACGGGTGGATTGCTTGAGCTCAGGAGTTCAAGACCAGCCTGAGCAAGAGCAAGCCCCATCTCTAAAAATAGCCGGGTGCTGTGGAGGGCACCTATAGTCCCAGCTACTCAGGAGGTTGAGGCAAGTGGATCACTTGAGGCCAAGAGTTGGAGGTTGCTGTGAGCTATGACGCCATAGCACTCTACCGAGGGTGACGAAATGAGGCTCTGTCTAGCGTCCCCACTACACCCCCCAAAAAGGGAATAAAACAATGAACACCTTTGCTAGCCAAGCCTCCTCTTCTGCCCTTCCCATATTCTGTTTTGGCATCTTAACTTGTTTGGCCGTGATCTAAGCCCTCATTCTTTTTGACACCTCAAGATGGTGATACAGGATTCCTCCACTCAGGGCTGGACGTCCCCCCCCACCCATTCTCCAGGCCCAGGTGAGCTCAGAAATCATACCCCCATCTCTAGGCACAAACGGGCTGCCTTTTTCAGGACACTCCCTATGGGCTCCAGCAAGGTCATGAATAAAGCAGCATGGAACATTTTTGGGCGGTTCCACCTTGAGTAGGGAGCACACACCCTAATCCTGTCCCTGAGAAAAAAATTGCAAAGACCTAATACCCTTGCCCCAGCAGAGGAACTGCATTCATTCATTTGTTAATACACTCATTAACTTTGAAAAGGTATTTTTCCATCTACCAAGACCAGGCCAAAATGTAATTCTCCGAACTACATCTACACCTACACAAAGGATCCTTGCGGGAGACTTCCGACTTGGGTCTTCCCCTTTGCCAGAAACTCTGGTGCTTTTCTACTACTTCTGTATTCTTTTCTGTCTAACAAAATCCTATCTGTGGTCCGTAGGTTCATTCTTGGAATCCCCCTAGACCAAGGACCTACTAAAGAAAGAAATTCCGGTAACAATGGTATATAAGCCAATCTACCCCATGGGGGTGTTAGATAGCTAGTAATCTGGCTCTCTTACGGAAAATGGACAAGGATGGGGGGGGCTCACCCCCATCTCACCTTAATCCCATCTCCTGAGGAGGAGAGCACACCCTACCAATTTACCAACCAAGGCTTAGCACGCCAACTGCAAACCGAGGTAGAGGACTCCCTACCCACAGTGCCTAACAACTGATACAATAGAGTCTTGAAGGTGGCCTCACAGAACAGCCTTAAGGCTAATTATCAATGTTGTTAGCTTAAATCTACATTGGGGTCCACACACCTCCAGTGGGCTCTGAAAGAGGCTCATGGGAGGTTTGCATGCACAGTAAGATTCTGGTTCTAAGGTGACCTCTGAACCACGGGGTAACCCCAGCCAAGGCAGTATAAAACAGAACCCCTAGCCAGGTGTGGTGGCTCATGTCGGTAATTCTAGCACTCTGGGAGGCCGAGGCGGGTGGATTGTTTGAGCTCAGGATTTACAAACCAACCTGAGCAAGAGTGAGACCCCATCTCTACTAAAAATAGAAAAACTAGCCAGGCATTGTGGTGGGCATCTGTAGTCCACTGGGAGGCTCAGGCTGGAGGATTTTTCAAGCCCAAGAGTTTGAGGTTGCTGTGAGCTGTCATGGCTCCACAGCACTCTACCCAAAACACCAGCACTCCCAACCATAACCAAGACCTTTTCTGTCAAGACAATGGAGGCCCGTGCGCTATGACAAGCATGTCTTGCTCTGTAAACCTATCTTTGTCTTCCTCAATAAACTTTTGTTTCACACTTGCCTTACTTTGGGTGTCTGGTCATTCTTCTGCCAAGAATACCCCCAAAAACCAGGGATGCAGGCAGCCGCCTGAAATCCCCGCAGTTTAGGAGACAGGCAGCTGCCTTGAAACCTGACAGGGGGTCTCTCACAGCCCCTCCCAAGGCGCAACCGCCGGACCAGTGGAGCCGGGCGCGGGGCGGGGGCGGAGGCGAGGGGCGGGGATTGTGGGGCCGGGGCGCAGCCCCCTGGCCCTGAAAGCCAAGAGAGCGCCGCTCCCGCCGCCCTCGCCATTTCTCCCATCTTGACCCGTCGAGCTGGGACGTCCGAGGAGAGCTCTCACCCGCTGGTCAAGGGGTGCGCGTCGGGGAAGGCAGAAGTCATGGATCCGGAGCAGCAGCCGCCGCTTCAGCCGGCCCCCCAGGGCCAAAGGCAGCCGCCCGCGCAGAACACCCAGGAGCAGGCCCCGCCGTCCGGGCTGGAGCAGCCGGCGCCCTCGGCTTCCAAGGAGGCGCCACAGGCACCATTCGCGGGGCACCAGATCGTGTGTGTCCAGGGGGACTCGGAGAGCGACCTGGAGGCCCTCTTCAACGCGGTCATCAACCCGAAGACGGCCAACGTGCCGCAGACCGTGCCCATGAGGCTCCGGAAGCTGCCTGACTCCTTCTTCAAGCCGCCGGAGCCCAAATCCTGCTCCCCACAGGCCAGTATGGATGCAGGCACTGCAGAAGACTTGACTCCACAGCATGTTCGAGCTCATTCCTCTCCGGCGTCCCTGAAGTTGGAAGCCGCTTCTCCTGGGACGCTGACCCCCACCGGAGTAGTCTCTGACCCCGCAACCACATCTACAGCTCAACATCTTCTGCAGTCTTCTTTGGAGATACCTGATGATGTACCTCTGCCAGCAGGCTGGGAGATAGCGGAGACATCTGCTGGTCAGAAATACTTCTTAAATCACACCGATCACACAACATCATGGCAGGACCCCAGGGAGGCCATGCTCTTGCAGATGAACGCTACAGCCTCCACCAGTCCACCAGCGCAGCAGAATATGATGAACTCAGCTTCAGGTCCTCTTCCTGATGGATGGGAACAAGCCGTGACTCAGGATGGAGAAATTTACTATATAAACTATAAGAACATGACCGCCCCTTGGCTAGACCCAAGTCTTGACCCTCGTTTTGGTAAAGCCGTGAACCAGAGAATCAGTCAGAGTGCTCCAGATGAACAGCCACCTCCCCTGACTCCCCAGAGCCCGCAGGCAGACGTTATGGGTGGCAGCACCTCCAACCAGCAGCAACAGATGCGGCTCCAACTGCAGATGGAAGAAGAGCTCCTGCGCCTGAAGCAACAAGAACTGCTCTGGCAGGCAATGTGGAGCCTCAGTCCCAGCCTAGCAAATCCTCCAAAATGCCAGGAAGTAGCTCTCCATGGCCATTTGCCAACACTGGAGCAGGATAGTGGGACTCAAACTCCAGTGTCTTCTCCCAGGATGTTTCAGGAACTGAGAACAATGACGGCCAACAGCTTCAATCTTCTTTTTAATGGTGGCGCCCATCACTCTCGAGATGAGAGTACAGACAGTGGACTAAGCGTGAGCAGCTGCGGTGTCCCTCGAACCCCAGAAGACATACTCAACAGCGTTGATGAAATGGATACAGATGACAGCGTTAACCAAAACACCCTGCTGACACTGCAGAACCATTTAAACGACTACCTTGAAAGCATTCCTGGGACCAGTGTGGACCTTGGAATGGCTGTAGCACTGGAGGGAGATGAAATGTACCTAGAAGGAGAGGAGTTGATGCCAAATATTCAGGAAGCTTTCAATTCTGACATCCTTAATGACATGGAGTCTGTTTTGGCTGCAGCCAAGCTAGACAAAGACAGTTTTCTTACATGGTTATAGAGCCCTCAGGTAGACTGAATTCTAAATCTGTGAAGGATCTAAGGAGATAAGACATCCACCTGAAATTTCCATATAAGCCAGTTGCCAGTTTTCTGGCTAATACAGAAAAAGATGAACAAACGTCCAGCAAGATTCTCTCATCCTCTATTTTGATCTTCCTTGTCCATTGCTGCTGTTAATACATTGCTGACTTCTTTCACAGTTGGCTCTAAAGAATCAAAAAAAAAAAAAAACCCATCTCTTTTGCTGTTATAGCTGCTGTTCGTTTTGGAGGCTGGAGGAAGTGAGCCTGTTTGGATGATGGATGCCACTCCTTTTGCCCAGTTAGATGTTCACCGATCATTTTTAACTCAGACGGAAGTCGAATGCTTCATGTCACAGCATTTTGTTCAAGCAATTTTTTCTTCAGCTGCCTTTGGCCAGTAGAAAAACATGACCTACTGGTCTGAAGAGCCAAAAATGTTGTATCTAATATTAAGAACTTAATGATGATTTGGAGAGATGGCTGAAACCAAAGCTGAAGACGGTTTTACTTTTAGTGTTTTTTTTTTCTCCTAGTACAATCTATTAGTCATATAAGGCATGAGACAATTTCCATAGAAAAATACGAATTATTGCCACAAACTCTAGCATAGCTTTTGGTGGATATTTTTGTGGGTGTTTTTTTTTTTTTTTTTTTTTTGTTAGTTGGGTTGGGTTTTGTTGGAACCTAGGCAAATTACCATATTAGTGAATCTGTTTATAGGTGTAGCTTGGGACAGTTGGAGTGCTTTTGCTAAAGTCTACATTTCCTGTTTTTTTACCATCTTCTTTAAATTTTGATGACTTCTGCTGTCTCATTCACACAATGTTTATAATAGCGTGATAGGAGAATGTATTTTTTTTTAAGGTTTCCCTACTTTCCAATTTATTTTTAAAATGGTAGCTTTGAATATATATATTCGTTTAGAATATATGGCTTAGTAGTTTGTTTCTTGGGTAGCGAGAATCTGGTTGAGGCAGTCTGCCAATGTTTGAAGTAGCTTGTTGTTGTAGAAAGGGCTTTTACTATGGATAGTGCTCTGTGCCCTCTGGGCACACAATAGATATTTCTGATGAATTGAGAAAAAGCAAATAAGAAATGGCTTTATTTTCTTCTGTTGACACCCAATTTTGAGTCTTGATAGGAAATCACTGAGTACATGCGTAACTTACATGACAGAAGTAAGCTTTATAGAGGTTTTTCTTTAGCGTTGGGAGTTTACCTTCATTTTAGTTTTAGGAAATAAATTGTACTACTTTAGTTCTCATTTGTAATGAACACATAAAAGACTAGATTGAAATGTTTCCTATAATATTCTTTCTACTTTTAAGACTTGCTTCTACTTCTGTATGCTGAACATTGACTGGATATAAAATACTGCAAGGTTATGAGTTAGCTGGTAAAGTGATAAGATTAATAAATGTGTAGTGGTAGTTGAATTTAGCAAAGAAATAGAAATGATCGTGATTATACCTTTATTTTTACAGGAAGAAATATAACTACAGTGTGTGTCTACATGAGTAATAATGGTTTGTTTCTTTGTATTTTTGTTTGTTTGGTTTTTTTTGAGACAGAGTCTCACTTTTGCCCTTGATAGACTGCTGTAGTATCATAGCTCACAGCAACCTCAAACTCTTGGGCTCAAGTGATTCTCTTGGTCTGGCTCAGGCTGGTCTCAAACCTATGAGCTCAGGCAATCCACCTACCTCTGCCTCCCAGAGTGCTAGGATTACAGGCGTGAGCCACCTCGCCTGGCCCCAGTAATAATCGTTTCCAAAGAGTATTTTTTAAAGGAACAAAATGAGCATAAAATAACTCTTCCAATATAAGCTATGAAGTAACAGTTGGTTATGAATTAGAAGTGTGGCTCCAGCTAAGCACCTCTATGATTTTAAGGGTCTTTGAATGTTTTTAGAATAAGTTAGAGTGATAATGAAATCATACCTAGAATGCAAAATTGAGTATATTGATAATATGTTGCGTTTTTGTTTTTAATGTGCAGAAGATCAAAGGTACTTGGGAGGAGTGCCTGTGATTTGCCAGTAAGCTACAGATCAAGAATGGATCTTATGTAATAGCAGAGTAGCATTAGCTTAGGGGGAGGGTGGGAAGATGTGGGGGGAGGGATTGTGAAGATTTAGTGGGACCTTGATAGAAAACTTGATAAACTTTCACTTCAATAAAGACTTATCTTATATCTTGCTGCCCTTGAAGGCAGTCGTTCCTAAAATTTCAGTTACTTAAGTACACCCATAAAACAAGAATATGGAGATCTTTGTTTCCTCTCGACTTTAATTTGCCCTCAATTAAATATACCTCAATATTGTAGCAGCACTGTGGGGCCTGACACAGAACTTTGACCTTATGCCCTCTGTACTGACCTGAAGAAGACCTAACAGACCTTTCTCTTTTGAGCTTGAAACACAGCCTTGATGTGGTCTTTCTTGTTTTAAGTCCTTATTCCTGATGTAAAAGTGTTTAACTTCTTGGCTATATGGGGTAGCATTGGGATAAGATTTTAACCGGGTATTACTGAATTGCTTTTACAATAAGCCAATTGTGTAATCTTAAAAAAAAAAAAAACTGACAGGAAGTTGGGGGTATTGTCCCCCATGCATGTCAGTAAATTTGTATGCCATTTCTTATATTAATATGCCTGTGTTCAGTTTTTTTTCAGCGAATCTTCAGAGGGTAAAGAGGAAGATTACCCTTAGTCCCTACAGTTCAATTATGAATGTAATATTTTCTTAAGTAATACAGGCACAAGGAATAGATCGTATTTCTAAATCTTTTGCAAGCCAAAATAGTAGAGCAGAAAATACATAAGGCTTTGGAAACATCTGGGTTTACAACTGAAACTTTTTTTTTCTTGAGACAGAGTCTCACTCTGTCACCTTTTATAAGGTGCTGTGGCGTCATAGCTCACAGCAACCTCAAACTCTTGGGCTCAAGCAATTCTCTTGCCTCAGCCTCCCTAGTAGCTGGGACTACTGGAACCCGCCACAACGCCCGGCTATTTTTTGGTTGTAGTTGTCATTGTTTGGCAGGCCCAGGCTGGATGCGAACCAGCCAGCCCCGGTGTATGTGGCTGGCGCCCTAGCCACTGAGCTACAGGCGTCAAGCCAACATTCTTTTAGTAAAGGATCTCAAGAATGGAAATAAAAGTATCAAATGTACTCACTACTATTATGAAACCAATATATAAACACCTACACAGTCATATGAAAAAACAGCTATAGTCCAGAAAGGAGAGGGAAGGGGTGGGGGAGGGCGGGAGGAGGGAGGGTTTTTGGTGGGACCTCACCTATTGTGCACAATGCAATGGTACATTTCAAATTTATTTTGAGTATAAATGACCACAACAAACAAATGAGGTGATGGTTATGTTAATCCGTTTGATGTATGCATTCCACTTTTGTATATCAAATCAGCACATTGTACCCCATAAATGTACACAGTTATGATTTAATAAAAAAAATTTGCAGTAACAAAAAAAATCAGCTTTTATTATTGTGTGACTTTCAGCCCCTTGCCTATTTTCTTATTTATTTATTTTTTGAGACAGTCTCACTCTGTCACCTCAGTAGGGTACCCTGGCATGATAGCTCACAGCAACTTCAAACTCTTAGGGCACAGACGATCCTTTTGCCTCACCCTCCCAAATAGCTGGGACTACCAAGTGTCTGCCACAACGCCCAGCTATTTTTTAGAGAGGGGGGTCTAAATCTTGCTCAGGTTGGTTCTTAACTCCTAAGCTCAGGTGATCTTCCTGCCTCAGCCTCTCAGGATGCTAGAATTATAGGCCACACCCAACCCTAAACTTTACCTCTTCTTTCTAACCCTCAATTTCTATTTTTTTTTCTTTCAGTTTTTGGCCAGGGCTGGGTTTGAACCCACCACCAGTAGTATATGGGGCGGGCGCCCTACTCCTTTGAGCTACAGGTGCCGTCCCTGACCCTCAATTTCTTCTGTAAAATGTAGGGACTGTCTCAGGGCTACTATTATTCCCAAATGATGTCAGCTGAAGAAATAAGGAGGTCCATAATTTTGGAAAGGAGAACCATATTTCTCACACAGGGTTGCAGTCTGCAAATGGCCATTCCGGCCTGCCTCCCCCAGAAGCCAGGAGCTTGTGCTCAGAGGGAGGGACCATGGGAACAGGACTTTGTGCTGAGGTGGTGGCTGAATATACATATTTAACAAGCTGTGGGAGGGCATGGTGTGTGACACCCCTGTTGGGGGCGGGACACAATTATAAGAGGGACTTAACCTAAGAAATGCAAGCAGTATAACTTGGTTCTGTGTACCTTCAATGATTCCCCAACAATTAAAAAAAAACAACAAGCTATGGGAAGAGTCATGAAGACTTATGAAAGGAGAAACGAGCGCCTGCACAATCAATCTTAATGCCATTTCATAGGTTACACGTACCCAAAATGGTGGCATTATCATGATCAGACTACGGAGTTTTCAGCTCCCTGACCCCCAAAGGTGAAGTGGAGGACATATAAAACCCTTTCTGCACATAGGCTGAAGTCTGCTTAGAGCTACTCCATTCTCAATGGCCCCCGTTTAGGGAATAATGCTGATCAGTTGTGGGAAACTACAAAATGGGAGGAGCAACATTAGGCAATGTTTTGGGTTTTGTTTTGTTTTGAGACAGTGTCTCACTTTGTCACCCTTGGTAGAGTACCGAGGCATTATAGTTCACAGCAACCTCAAACTCTTAGGCTCAAGCTATTCTATT